TCCATTTACCTTTATTTTTTAAGAATAAAGGATTCATTTATCTTTATTTTATAAAGTAAAAGTAAAGTACCACCCCTAATTCGAGAATCTTGTTCTTCTGCAATTTGTGATCTACTTGACATTTTTATTCCTAAAATTAGAAGGGATAATTGTTATAAAATTTCAATAAACATATTTACCTATCCAATGTAATAAATTATTTAGCATAAATGATAAAATATCTTGATCTTGTATCTGATTTTCTCGAGCATATCGAAAACTATCATTAATAATTGAAATAAACATACTCAAACATACAAATACAACTAACAGAATAAATATACTAAAACATAATGGACCAATAACAACATCAGCTCCTATTAATTCACTTGTATCAAATTTCATTAATGTCATTTCAAAAAGCATTTGTGCACTTGATAATAGACTTGAACATGATGAAATTCGTGATACAAATAATAAATAAAATAAACTAAGAAACGACATAAATACAATTGAAAACATCATAGAAAATGAAATAAGTTCTCTTCTAGCATATCGAAGTGTTTCAGTAAATAATGATAAACGTCGATTAAAACGAAATAGATGAATAAATTTAATTGTACCAAAAAAACAACAAAAACTAAGAAAAAATGTTAAAAGATCATTTGCATAAACTGCAAATTCTAAATTAATATAAACATATCCATTTGTTTCTTTAAATGAACGACTTATACGTTTACATTCTTGAAAACGCCATAAATAAACTACAACATTTCGCAATGAACAGACAATAATACCTAATTCAATCAATGATCGAAATTGACAAAAATAATTTAATTTTAATTGAAATAATAATCGAATTTCGATTATTATAAAATAAATAATAAAAATTATATAAAGTATTGTACAAACTAATTGTAAAACTGATGTAAATACTAAAACAGAGTAAAATTCTAATTTCTATTAAAAAATAATTAACATAAAATTACCATAAAAATTAAGTGGCTCAAACGAACTGTTGGAGATATTGAACTGGTTGATAAAAATTCAACAAGAAAAGTAGCTGAAGTAAATAATTGGACATTTGGATTATATAAAGTTAATTGAATAAAAATAGCTCTTGTTTCATCATCAATCCATTCTAATTGATGAAGTCTAGATAAATTACTTTTAAGATCTAATAAACGACCACGAAATTCATATATATAACCACCTCCACTATATGTTTCATGTTGACCTATATAAATATATGTATCTAATTT